CCTTGGGAGGATGATGACGCTGGGAGGATGCTGACCTTGGGAGGATGATGACGCTGGGAGGATGCTGACCTTGGGAGGATGATGACGCTGGGAGGATGCTGACCTTGGGAGGATGATGACGCTGGGAGGATGCTGACCTTGGGAGGATGATGACGCTGGGAGGATGCTGACCTTGGGAGGATGATGACGCTGGGAGGATGCTGACCCTGGGAGGATGCTGACCCTGGGAGGATGATGACTTTGGGAGGATGACGACCCTGGGAGGATGATGACCCTGGGAGGATGATGACCCTGGGAGGATGCTGATCCTGGGAGGATGCTGATCCTGGGAGGATGATGATCCTGGGAGGATGATGACCCTGGGAGGATGGATGACCCTGGGAGGATGGATGACCCTGGGAGGATGGATGACCCTGGGAGGATGGATGACCCTGGGAGGATGGATGACCCTGGGAGGATGGATGACCCTGGGAGGATGGATGACCCTGGGAGGATGCTGACCCTGGGAGGATGCTGACCCTGGGAGGATGATGACTCTGGGAGGATGATGACTCTGGGAGGATGATGACCCTGGGAGGATGCTGACCCTGGGAGGATGGATGACCCTGGGAGGATGGATGACCCTGGGAGGATGGATGACTCTGAGAGGATGGATGACCCTGGATGGTTTCCTTCCTGATGATCCTTCTATCTATTCTTTATTTTCCTATTATTTACCTTTGTACCTGATCTTTTATTTTTTTGGGGGGGGGCAGGGTTTCTGTGTGTAGCTCTGTAGACCAGGCTGGCTTCAAACTCACAGACATCCACCAGCCTCTGCCTGGGGTTAAAGGCGTGTGCCACCACTGCCCAGGTGTACCTGGTCTTTTAAAAATACATTTATTTTTATTGTATGTGCATGGGTGAATGTATCTGCTTGTGTAACACACACACACACACACACACACACACACACACACACACACGTATGGTGTTCTAAGCCTCATAGGTGGTTGTGAGTCACCTGACACGGGCTCTGAAAACTGAAGTCTGGTCCTCTGCAAGAGCAGCAGGTGCCCTTAGCCACTGAGTCACCTCTCAAGCATCTGCACCCTGTGTTTTAAACTAACCCAGGGCTGGAGAAATAACTCAGCAGCACTGGCTGCTCCTCCAGAGGCCTAACAACCATCCGTAAGTCCATTCCATAGGCTCAATATTCTCCTCTGGCCTCTGAGGGCGCTGCATGCATGCTGAGCACAGACATGCAGGCAGGTTAAACACCCATACACATACAATTAAAAGAAATACAATCTAAGCCGGGTGGTGGTGTTACACACCTTTGATCCCAGCACTCGGGAGGCAGGGGCAGGGGGAATCCCTGTGAGTTCGAGGTCAGCCTGGTCTACAAGAGCTAGTTCCAGGACAGCCCCCAAAGCCATAGAGAAAACCTGTCTCGAAAAACCAAAAATAAACAAACAAACAAATAAAATCTGAACTACCTAACTCCCTTTGTCTCCTAGAGACAGAACCCCTTGGTTCAGGACACCACCAAAAGCCACATCGACAGCATCTGCTGTCTCCAAAACTTCTAATAGCAAACATGACAGCATCTCAATCCAACCCAAAGCAGCCCTCTGAAACCTCTGAAGTCTGGCTCACTCACTGCTCTCCCAGCTCTCCACAGAACAATGGACAGGAAATGTCAGCTCTAGTGACATCATTTTGTCTGTCATCTACCACCTCAGCCGGCACTCTTACTCTGCTCAAATACCCTGTTTGGCAAATGCTGGTCCCACCGCAAGCTCAACTTCGCTAGCAATGCCAGCCAGGTCTGTTAGAGCCTCATTTACATTTCCTCTTTCCTGGCCTTAAAATCCCACAGGTCTATAAGTGGGGCAGGGGCTCTGGTTCTTACCCCCCCTCACCTCCCACCCCTGCAAAAGGTGTTCTTAAATAACCTGTGGCGCTGCTGAGTTGCTCGGCCCTTGTCTCCCAGTCTCTAATCTAACAAAAGTTGAGCCTGGTGTCTGTGAGACACCAGAGTGGTGGCAGAAGCAGAGGCATCCTCACTGGGAAGGAAGGAAGGAAGGACAGCATGAGTTAGATTTCAGAAGGAACCGGGTGCAGGCACCCGCTTCCCTCACTTGCTCCTCCTCAGCAAGGCTTTCTGATGCTAAAGAAAGAAAGGTCTTGGTGGTATCAACAGGGTCACCGAGCGAGCGCACTCGGGACTTTTGGTCATCCTGCCCCTCCAGACCTCCAGGCCTCTGAGGAGTTGTTAATAGTCCATCCTCCTGCATCTCTCAGTCCTCCTGCAGGGCCGGAAAAGAGGAAGCCCCGAGGGGGCGGGCAGACCTCAGAGAAGTCAGGGGGCGCTCCGTGGTCGCTATCCAGGGGACAGACAGCCGCCCAGAGGACAGACAGCCGCCCAAGGGACAGACAGACAGCCGCCCAGGGGACACACAGCCGTCCAGGGGACAGACAGCCAGGAGACAGACAGACAGACAGCTGCCCAGGGGCCAGATAGCCGCCCAGGGGGACAGACAGACAGCCAGGAGACAGACAGACAGACAGCCGCCCAGGGGCCAGATAGCCACCCAGGGGGACAGACAGCTGTCCAAGGGACAGACTCATCCAGGGGACAGACAGACAGCCATCTGGGGGACAGACAGACATTGGGGGACAGACAGACATCCGGGGACAGATGACAGCCGTCCAGGGGACAGACAGACATCGGGGGACAGAAGACAGCCGTCCTGGGGACAGACAGACATTGGGGACAGACAGTCATCTGGGAGACAGACAGATATCCAGGGGACAGACAGTCATCCAGGGGACAGACAGACAGCCATCTGGGGGACAGACAGACATCGGGGACAGACATACATCCAGGAACAGATGACAGCCATCTGGGGGACAGACAGTCATCTGGGAGACAGACAGACATCCAGGGAACAGACAGACATCCGGGGGACAGACGACAGCTGTCCGGGGGACAGACAGACATCCGGAGACAGACAGACATCGGGGACAGACGGCAGCCTGTCTGAGGACAGACAGACAGACAGACAGACAGACAGACAGACAGACAGACAGACGGCAGCCTGTTTTGTAGCTGCTGCCTCCGGCCGACCAGGTGTCTTGGTTAGGAGCCTGAGCCCAGCTCCTGCATGGGGCGCCACCAAGACTGTGGGGTCCTCCAGGGGGCCTAGAGAGACTTCCGGGAGCGGTGCGTGATGACGCATTTCCGGCCGTGATCCTTAAAACCCGAGGGAGCCGCAGGGGAGCGTCGGCGTGTGTCCTCGTGTGACGGAGCTGTGGGAGTCCTCGGTGAGAGAGAGAGAGCGAGAGAGAGACAGAGACAGAGACAGAGCAAGAGGCCGCTGTGGGGGGGGGAGACAGACAGAGAGAGAGAGAGACAGAGAGAGAGAGGCCGCTGTGGGGAGAGACAGAGAGAGAGAGAGAGAGAGAGAAAGAGAGAGAGAGAGAGAGAGAGAGAGAGAGAGAGAGAGAGAGAGAGGCTGCTGTGGGGAGAGAGAGAGGGAGAGAGAGAGAGGGAGAGAGACAGAGAGAGGCCGCTGTGGGGGGAGAGAGAGAGAGGGGGAGAGAGAGAGAGAGAGAGAGAGAGAGAGAGAGAGAGAGAGAGAGAGAGAGGCCGCTGTGGGGGGAGAGGGGGGAAGAGCGAGGAAGGAAGGGAGGGAGGGAGAGGCGGCTGTGGGCAGCACGCTTGGGCAGGAGGGCAGCCCGCGATGCCGGCAGGAAGAGGCCGCTGGGGTCCCGTGGGCCCCGGGGATTTGTGTGTCCGCCTGGAGGCCCTGGCAGAGCGGAGGAGGGGCCGACCTGAGGGCAGGGCCTGCGGAGGTCAGGGCGTTTTCGTCAGGGACGTGGCAGTGTCCAGCCCTAGGTCCCCTCTGGGGATTTCAGGAACACTCTCCAGGAAACGGGTCTCTAACATGGCGCTATGTACATCTAGCTCCAAACCAGAGAGCTCTGGGCCGTGCGAGTTCCCCCAGCAAGGTGGAGTCCACTCTTGAGGCGTGTGTTAATGCAGCTTAGCAGTGTGCTGTGTGCCCTCCATTGCCCTCGTCTATGTTCATGTGCCAGATGTCTGTGATGCTGGAAGCTGTTCATTATTGTCTCCAAAGCCTAAATCTTCCTCATCCACTCTTGTGAACGACAGGCTTACTTCCTAATGATTTACAAGGATGAATTTACTCAGAGTGGGAGTTAACGACTAAGAATTGAAACTGGTGTGCCTCCTATGCTGGAATATCTGAATTTATGTTGTGAAGGTGATAGATTCCTTTAAGGTTTGGGTGCTCGCCTTCTCACCACCTACTGTGATAAAATCGAACAAACATACTGCAAGCCATTTGTGTTCAGAGAACACGAAAACATTCCCAATAAACTATCTTTAATTTTTCAAGACAGGGTTTCTCTGGGTAGCCCTGGCTGTCTTGGAACTCACTCTGTAGACCAGGCTGGCCTTGACCTCACAGAGATCCACCTGCCTCTGCCTCCCAAATGTTGGGGTTAAAGGTGTGCGCCACCTGGGCACCCAGCTCTAGTAAAATACCTTTAAATTATTTGACTTGTATTACTAAAAAAGATAGACACTATTACTAAGTAGCATAGGGAGGGGCTGATTCTGAGGTCTTCCAGCATTCAGTGGATTTCATGTGTAGGACTCATTCCTGTCTGATCTGGAGTCTATTAACTGTTTCAAATGCCGGTTTTCCTTGATCAGTTCATAACATTCTGCTCACTGTGTTTTCCTACTACCCTTGGCTTTGTCTCTGAAGTTACAGTTCTAACAGTGCATATTATCATCACACATTTCTTGGATGATCCTGTTTTCCATTTTATGTTCTCCAATGTGCCTGCTGTTTCACGGTTGTTAAGACTAGAATTGCCGCTGATAAGAACGTCACAAGACCTTCCAAACCAGACAGATCAAGAACTGTATGTAAGAGAAGTCAAATAGAGTTATTGATACTAATAGTTTCTCTGTTTACCCTCAGGTCCTGAAATTTTTAAACCTGTATTTACTACAGGACTAAAAGATTTTTATGATGGACAATATCTCTGTAAAAGCAGAGCCTCAGGTAAACTGGATTGTCTTGTTTCTGTACATATATGTGTGAGTGTACAATGATATATGTGTGCATGTATACATATATGCACACATACATGTATATGTAAATATATACATATAAGCATGTATCCATGTGTATTTACATTAGTATATAGTTTAGAAATTTCTCATTAAGTTTTAACTTATACGCATGTTTTAACTGTATAGCTCACTTTTTTAAAAATACATACGTTTATGTATGCCATGATTTCTGTTAGTGCTTTGAAATTTTCCATTTTATGCCCTCTCCTAAGCCAGTGGGATTGTCCCTCACCCAGTACTGGGGTTACAGGTACCTGCCCCCATACCAGCTTTTATGTGGGTGCTGGGGATCTAAATCCAGGTCTTCATGCTGTGAAACAGGTGTTGTAGATGGTGCCATTTCTGGGCGGGCTGAGCAAGCCATGGGAAGCAAGTCAGTCAGCAGCTCCCTCCATGGCCTCAGCATCAGCTCCTGCTCCAGGCTCCTGTCTTGTTTGGGTTCCTGCCCTGGTTGCTTTAATGATGGACTATGTTGTGGAAGTGTAAGCCAAGTAAACCTTTTCCTCCCCAACTTGTTTTTCTCATGGTGGTCATTGAAGCAGTGCTAATCCTAAGACCCTAGGCAAGGGAATCTGCCAGGGATTCACTACCCCAGCTGCAGTCTTGACTCGTGATGGATATAAGGATGTGTGTAGTGTGTGTATGAATGAATTGCTAGGTTGTGGAAGATACGTTTGGTTAATTTTATTACCAAATGCTATTTAGGAGTTTTCTGAAACAGTCATTGCTGTTTGTGCTTTTTATATTTTCCTCAGCAGTATACAGTTGTTCCCCATGATTGTCTGATGTCCAGGAGAACTATTATTTGTCACTTCAGGTTTTTGAAGATGTGGCTGTGTGCTTCACAGAGCGGGAACTGGCCAGCCTGACACTTGAGCAGAAGGACCTGTACAGGGAAGTGGTTCTTGAGAACTTTGCCCATGTGGCTTTTCTGGGTAAGGTTCCTGTCTGTAGATCTCTGCTTGGGTCCTCAGGCTGAAGGGCTTGCTTACAGTTATTAGCCAACTTGAAATGGTAAAAGTGTAGCTCACTCTGTGGCTCACTGCTGCAGGTAAACTGTAATGACCATGCCTTCCTTCGGTGCTAGTGCTTGCGTGTGTGTAGTTTTAAGGCCCTGCAGGTAGATGTGAAGCACTGAGTTACATCCTTTACCATGCTCCCATTTAAATTATTTTTTCGGCTTTCAAGAGAAGGTTTTTAATATATCTTAGTCATACACAGTGGGTTTCATTATGACATTTCACACAGGGATGAATTGATTTTGGTCCCATTCTCTTCCCCATCATCCCTCACACACCCCTGCACCATCTATTCTCTTTTGTCTTCCCAGCTCCTCCTGTCTGCTGTCATGCCTTCAAATTTTTTGCGTGTGCCCTAATGAGTCTTATTGAGGTTACTTACAGGATCTTCAGTGTTTTGTACATTAAAATGCTTTTATTTAGAGGGATATTTAGAATAAGATTTCAAATATTTCACTAGTTATATACTTATAGTCACCTTTCTGTGCTCTCCCAGCTTTGCAAAGTTGCTACATTTATACATTTGGTATAGTGGTACCTTGTGTAGTAACAAATAAGAACATGGAAACTATTTTTGCTTTTTATGATAACATTAAAACTTATTTTATATTGAAATGTGTAAAGGTAGCTTACAGATAGTGTGATTTTTTTCTCCTCTCCTTTAGGGTACATCTCAAAACTAAGAAAATATGCTCAAATGGCCGAAGCAGAGTCATCCAGAGTGAAGGCGTTCCTCTAAGTCAGGTGTGCCGGAAGACAGGAACAAGGGAGGCGAGGTCAGAGCATGTCACTGCTTCCAAGTGCACATTTCCATCCAAGTAGATGAAGTGCTTTTAGTTCATTAAAGCCGTTCTTTACTACATGCAAAACAGGCTCTTGTGTCCTTTTTAACAGCTTTATGTAGCTAGAATTCACCACCCATATACTCATTTATTTAAAAAAAAAAAAACCGTTCAGCAGGCAAAGAAAGATTATAAGGGGGCAGAAATGTCCTTTCAGGCTGAGCCATTGATCTACAGAATGTGACATCTAACCAATTTCAAGTTTGGGCTGGAGTCCAAAGAAAAAGAAGTGTGACTATTGACACAACATTCCACAAACTGACTCCAAGACTCTGAGTCTAACCTTACTCAGAGAATTTAAGACTGTTGTGGGATGCTGTGGTCTCGGCACAAAGTTGGGATTGGCTGCTAAGTAAGGGGCTGTGGCCAACAGGCGAGCAGTCTTTGTATGTGTCCTTTAGAGCGTGTGACTCTGCAGGGACCCCTGTTGGACTGGGTGCTAACTTGCTGCTGCTGTTCAGAGTGTTGCATCTCCAGGCCCCGCTCTGCTCCTCGTCTCCAGCTCTGACACAGCTGGGAGTTAGGTGTAGTAGCATATCTCTTTCCTAGCTTACATGGTAGGTTGAGGCAGGAGGATCACTCAAACTCACTGGCTCAGGAGGGGGTCTGAAGAGGTGACAACAGTGACTGGCACTGGCCCTGGGCCAAGCCTCTTCCTGACCTTGGGGAATGTGGCTGCTGCTGTTTGTTTCCTGCTCTCATGGAGCTTGGAGTTGGCTGGTGAAGACATTCAGACAGGCAATAATGATAAGAAGGATTGACTCGGTGCCCAAAAAAGACCGACTTAAGTCAGATTTGGACTTCTTAGTGGCAGGCTGGGCATGAGAGACACTGGAGAGCCCCAGCACAGGCAAGGTGGACACCATTAAGATGAGCAAATACACGGTGGAGAGAAGGTAGAAAAAGAAGCAGATCTGTTTAAGCACTATAAAGAGGCCAAATGGCGATTTGGGGTTATAGAGGAACAGCAGAGTAGCCAATGCCACCCGAGGCCATGGAAGTGCTTGGGCCTGTGCTGCCTCGGAGGGCCATGTTTGGGTCTGTGGCCCTGCAGTACTCTATGGCCCTTTGTACCAACACCCCTGCTCTGGGCTGCCATCCGGTGCCATGTTGATGCATGCCTGGGCATCGTGGGAGAGCTGGCTCCACCTCTTGCTGGCTGCAGCACCCAGGAGAGGCCCTGCACCTTGCCTGGGCAGCACAGGAGAGCCGGTGCCAGTGTGTGAGAGTGGGAGAGTTGGTCCCACCTGTCACTGGTGGTGGCTTTGGAACTCAGGTGACCTGGCCCCCTGCCCCTCACCAGGGCAATTCTGAAGAGCTGGCCCTGCCCTCACCTGGGAAAAGTGGGAGAGCTGGCCCTGGTGGCATGGGTGCAGAACTGGGTGACAACCAATTCAACAACCACCTAGGATCAGATCCGGGGCTTTGAGTTGGCCCACCCCAGCATCTACCCCTATTTAAGAACTGCTGGAGTACATGAAGGGGCCCGTCCTGCAGAACCAAAGCTGCAGGATCCCCATGACACAGAAGTAACGGGGTATCTGAGAGGAGTCCCCATGAGGATGCAGTATCCATTGTGTAGCAGAAACCAGAGCCTTGAACCAGACCAATGACTTACTGCAATGAACATTTGCAAGCAAAGCTGTTTGGACCAAAGGGTATTCTGGGTGACACCATGACACACCACAGCTTCCACAGCAGCATTTTTTTCATTTTTTATTTTTTGTTATTTTTGATTGATTTCTTTGTGGGGGAGTTTGCAAGGGCAGATATGGAGGGGTGAGGAGATGAGTGGCATTAGGGTGCATGATGTTAAATTCACAAAGAATAAAACATTTTTTGAAGTTAAAAACAAAGTCAGACCGGGCATTGGTGGCGCACGCCTTTGATCCCAGTACTCGGGAGGCAGAGGCAGGAGGATCTCTGTGAGTTTGAGGCCAGCCTGGTCTACAGAGCGAGTTCCAGGATAGGACCCAAAGCCACAGAGAAACCCTGTCTGGAAAAACAAAACAAAAACAAAAGTATAGATTGATATTTAGGCATCTTTGTTCTGAATCCCCAAGTGGCATGCATCTTCACACTTGCCCTACATTTAGAGCGTCTACAGCGTTGACAATTACTTCATTAAGTTTGAATTGTTTGGGGGAAATTGTGAATGAACCTTTATAAATACATTTTGAGATAGTGTAAGTTTCTGGACAAAATACTGTATGTACCAAGGTGGCACTGCACAGGCTGGAAACAACCATTTCAGCAGGATAACTCGTAAAATGTGCACATTCCTAAGACTGTTTTCCTGAAGACATTTGGATGGGATCTAGTCAGGATGGAAACCTGAGCTCATCTGAGTGAGTTCATTTATTAGGTTCACTGAGGTATGGTGGGGCTCCGGACTGAGCAGGAGAAAGATGCTTCCTGAAAGGTACAGTGTAACCAATCACCACATACTCCTGCTGTTGGCACTTCCTGGCATGGTGGACTGCCCACAAACCTGGAGCCAAACAAGCCTGTTTTAAAGATGCTTGTGTCTGCATAGTGAGAAAAGCAATAAAACTGGTACCAAAAGTAGGGCTGTTTCTGTGATAAATCTGACCATGTGGTTCCTAGGCCTTTGGAACTGGTTTGCATGAGGGATATAGAAGAGTTTGGAAGCTTGGGGTAGAAAAGTCCTTGGACACTGAAGTAGAGACTGATGGACCATTCTGTTGGGATTTAGAAGGCCATGGTGCTGAGGGAAAAGAGGATGTCCCATTTAATTATGTTTCCAGAGTGTGAACCAGGACTCCATCAGGAACTGGGCTAAAGGCTATTTGCATGGTAAATTGATGAAATCTTCTGCTTGTGTCCCAAGAACTTGAGTGAGGCTGAATATGAGGAAAGGACTAACTTGGTGACATAAATTGTGAGAGAAGATAGCATCTCATATGTGGCATGGATACTTCTCTCATCCAGGTCTGCAGTCAGCAAATAATGAAACAGAAAGCTGGAAAATGCAGTTTAGTGAGGGAACTGTTTGAGTTTGTTATACGAGGCAACTTCCAAAGTAGCCATATTTGTTAAAGAGAGCAGCAGTCATGGCTAAAAGGAAATCAGCACATCCTCCTCATTAAAGTCCAGTGAAAATGCTGATTCGTTAGTAAGGAGAAAGCACAGCATAAATGCCCTGCTTAAAACCAAAGCTTAGGGGAGTGTTTTCTGCACTGTCAGCATGCAAGGAGTCCCGGGCTCCAGCCCTAGGGGTCAGTAGAACTTAGCGTCATTGTCTGCATGGTAGGCGTGAAAGATTCAAGCATGAGGGAGGAGAACAACTGGAAGCAGTACCAAGACTGCAGAAAACTGTTAAGGCCAGACATTGGGTGTCAGTGTCTGAATCTGCAGAGAGGCCACTCTGTGAAGGTGAAGACCAAGTTACAACAACGCTCCCAGGATTTTAGAAATGTCAGAATCATGACGCCCATTGAATAAAATGGAGTAGATTTGGCCTAAGAAGCTCTGGGTGCACAGGCAGCAGAGATGAGGAAGAGGACTGCCATGCCCATGGGAGCCTGAGTGGTTCTATCACAAGTCCTAAGTGCAGACACAGGGAACTGCAGAATTTCGAGTTTGCCCTCCTAGGTTTCAGTCCTGCTTTGCTCTGACGAGAATCCCTGACATTCTTCTCCCCCTCGGAATGGAAGTGTTTATTCTGTGACACTGTATTGAAAGCACACAACTTTTATTTTATAGGACCTCACCTTCCACCTGACACCCAGAAACTTATCTCCCAAGATCACATAACCCAGAGAGTCTCACCAAAAATTCCAGAGGAAAAAATAGTATAACAAATTCTGAGGCGTATTTCCCAAGGGCTAATTGTAAACACTCATCCCCTCCCCTTTAGGTTGCTATGGTCTGCTGGAAGAAACGGGCCTTGGGGCTGGAGGGATGGCTCGGCAGTTAAGAGCACTGGCCACTGTCTTAGCTACTTTTATACTGCTTTGAAGAAACACCATAACCAAGGCAACTTATAAGAGAGCATTTAATTGTGATCTTTCAGAGGGTGAGCCCCATGACAATCGTGGTGGGGAACATGGTTGCAGGAGGGAGGTGTGGTGCTGGAGCAGTAGCTGGGAGCTTGCATTCTTGTCTGAAAACATGAGGCAGAGGGAAGGAGAGGAAGAGAAGAGAAATGGACTCAAAGCTCACAACTCCTCCAACAAGGCCACACCCATAATCCTTCCCAAACAGTTCCACCACCTCAGGGCCAGACATTCGAAGACATGGATGCTAGGGGACCATTCTCATTTAAACCCAAATTTTGCTCCCAGCACCTACACCAGGGAACTCCCAATTGCCTATAATTACAGTCCCTGGAGATCTGACACCCTTGTTTTTGCCACAGTGGGCTCCTGCATACATAAGGCACACACAAATTCAAGCAGCACTTGTGCAAACAATAAACCTTTGGAAATGGGCCTTGTAAAAGCCGTGCCTTGACCTCACAGGCTGAGAATTGGATCCCATTCTGTTTTACCTGGACCTGTGCTGTAGCAGGGACATTTAGCTCAGCAAACCAGGTGGGAGCCATATTTTTTTTTTATTTTAAAAGTGTATCTTTTTTTTTTTTTTTTTTTTTTGCTCATCCTCTGGGGCATCGTGAAGCAAAAGTAATTCAATAACCAATGCTGCCTTTTTGTGTCCCCAGGGCGCCCCCCTCTCTCTCATCTCCGAGTCTGTTTTGGAGTAGACTGAAAAGATTTACAGAGTGTTGAATTACAACTGAATCAACTTTATGTTGTTGGTCTAAACAATCTTGACTCAAATTCCACAGTGTGAATCCCCCAGTATGAAACTGGTAGGTTTCCTAAGGCTTCTTCATACATCCTTAGTTTTGGTTAACCCACTCAGAGTCCCTCTCACCCATCCCCTTTGGGAGACAGGGTTTCACTTTGCAGCCTAGGCTGACCTTGAACTTGCAGCAGCCTTACTGTCTTAGTCTCCAAAGTTGTGGGGAT